ACCAACAAAAAGGGAGTCTCGATCATCATGCAATACCCAAAAAACTTAAACACCAAAAAACCCAAACCCACCCAAAAGAACAACGCTAAAAACACTAAATCCTAAAGTCCTTTAAAACCCCAACCCTAAAAACCTTCAACACTCGAAACACCAAAACTCCTGAACCCTAAAATCCCCAAACCCTAAAATCCCTAAAAACCCTAAACCCTAAAGACCCCTAAAAACACCCTAACCTTTCAACACCCAAAAGCCAACCCTAAAAAGCCTCAACCTCCAAATCCCCAAACCTTAAAAGCCTAAACCGTAAAAAACTTTAAACACCAAAAAAACTTAAGCGTAAAACGCACAAACCCTAAAACCCTAAACCCTAAAAATCCTCAAAACTCCTAGCCCTTAAAGCCCTAAACCCTAAAAGGCTAACCAAAAAAGATTAACCCTTAAAAAAAGTAGTTAAAAGCCACACACTGAACACCTTAAATCCTAAAACCTATTGAAAAAATAATTCTAAAACCCAGGAACCCTAAACCCTAAAAAACACAAACCCTAAAAACCTCTAACCCGAAAAAAAAAAAATTAACACCAATCAAAACACCTAGCCCTAAAACAGCCCAAGCCGTTAACAACTTGAACCCCAACAACCCAAAACGTTAAACACCCTACAAACCAATCACCCTACACACCCTAAACCCTAAAAAAACTAAACACCAAGAAGCCTCAACCCCAACAAACCAAACCCTAAAAACACACACACACACACACACCCTAAAAACCCTAAACCCTAAAATCCCGAAAAAATCCAACCTTAAAAACCCTCAACACTCTAAACACCAAAAACTCTAAACCCTAAAACTTTTAAAAACCACTCACCCTCAACACCCTAAAGCCCCTAACCCTAAAAAACCTAAACCATCTTAGAATGCCCAAGCCCTAAAATGCCCAAACCCTAAAGGACCTAAACCCTAAACACCCTCAACCCTAAACGTGTCAACATGATGTGTGCAACCACTTCCTGACATGTGCGGCACAAACATGACTGAAACCTGGATNNNNGCGGAAACCTAGAGGTCTGGGCGACCCTCATCCCTAAACCCTAATTCCTAAACCTAAACTTGATCCCTAAACCCTAAACCCTCATCCCTAAACCCTAATCCGTAAACCCTACAACCTATCTGAGGATTCTCGGCCTGGCCGTCAACTTGTGCCTCCAGCGCCTCGACGCCTGGGACGGAGCCGTGCCCAAACTCAAACTCCAAGCATCTACCCAGATCCTAAACCTTAAACCCTGAAGCCTAAACTCCTAAACCCTACCCTAATATACTCTCTATGTAACCCTAATATACCTAAATGCCTAAAAGATCCAAAGAATGGACCCCCCCCCAAAAAAAATGGCTCCAGTACTACATTGGGGAACCTAAGGGGTTCAGCATCTAAATAATCTAAATAATCCCCTCCCCCTGATATTAACCCCCCACCCCCCCCCAATATTAGATACTCCCATTATGTAGTATCATAGTGGGAGTATTTAACATTCGGGGGGTCTAATATTAGGGGCAGGGATGAGTATGTAACTAGTTGCCGGAATGCCTATGTAGGCTTTCAGCGTCTAGGACTGAGAGTTTCAGAATTTTGCAACTGGGCGTCCTCATTGGGGGTGGCTTCCAGCATCCCTGCTACATGTCATAAAGGGCTGGCAACATTTGGTACCAAGAAACGAAGGCATGGAAGAAAACAAGCATGGGGATGGCCAGACTTGAATCTGCGGCTGCGGCGTAGCAGCAAGGCTGCGTCGGAGACTTGCATGACCCCTGTGTCCTGTGACCACAGCAAGTTTGGGGGTTGAGTAGAAAATACAACCCTTACATAATCCCTATATGATATAGTAGTTTCCATTCTATTTTCCATTATCCCAAGATAACCCCAGTATAACCCGAGGAGCAAACGAGCTGAAGGGCTGACATGATAAGACATAGGCTCTGGGGCGGTGACTTGTATACCAGGACCCTCCTTGTACCCTTACTTGGGGATATATGGTCCCTAATAGTGGGTACTTAGGCCCTAATAGAGGGTAGGAGGAGGGTCTAGGTACTTGTACTAGGATGTTAGAGGATGCCAAAGGAATAGTTGGTAATTCTGCAGGCTCATTTGGTACTTCTGGAGCGCTATGGTTTCGAGCATTCGGGTGTGGGGCTGTGGCAAGGTGAAGCTTCAGGCACTTTTGTGCGGCCTTATGTATCCGTCACCCTTAACTGTACCTTTGGATTTACCTATGTGATGAAACGCTGTCCGCCTGCCCTCTGGATTTGTGGCTGGATGAAAGTGAAAATCACAGCGTGGTGCCAGCAAAGAGCTCATGCACCTTCAGGAATCCAGGGTCTTTTTGCTCAACAAGACTCGTCTTACCCAGAGTCCTTGCTCTGTGCCACGGGGGACCCGACTGGTGTTCTTCTGCCTGGCGATGGATACCAAATGCAGCAAGGATCCAAGCTTGTTGTACCCAACGCATATAGTGCTGCAGTTGCAATGCGACAAGGGCTCCCGATTTTGACATAGCAGAAAGACCCATGTACGACCGAGGCCTCCGGGCTACGCGGATGTATTTTTCTGGGATCGGGAGGCTTGGCCTGTACAGTACTCGGGTCTACAAAGCTGAGGTGCTCAGCTGGGGCTTCTTCATGTGAGGCTAAATTGTTCACGAATCCACTCTTTCTCTTTCGCCGACAGGCTCTAGCATGCTCCAGGCTCGTCCAGAGCTGACGCGAGAATGTACCCTCCAAAACTTCAGAAGGCTCCTCTCCATATTATTTCGGCTGGAAGGTGAAAGCCCACTGCCGCGTACATCATGTAAGAAAACAGCCAGGGTGCTTGCGGCACCGCAGCCCTGGTGCTGCGTGCAAATGAAAGCTCGAAAGCTCCAGGGCCGATGGCGCTCAAATCCTTCCCCTCATCAACCCGAAAGCAGTGCCTTAGTCGCTACGCCCGGTTTTAGAAGCCCTGGCCCCCAATCCCCCGAGGCTGCAACGTTCGGCTTCCAGCAGCCCGAAAGCTGTTTGCAGCTGCGTAACTTCCATCTTCGTCTCCTGGCACACGGCTTGCGGATGTCGGGTCCAGGGCGCGGAGAACCTCAACTTCCTCAATCAGGAATAAGCCGCAAATTATGGTAGACTCCTTGCAAGGATGTTGAGACCCGTCTTGAACTTAAAATGCCTTGGGAGTCTTAAGACCAGAGATGCTCCATTCTTGGGTGTGTCCTTATGTTTGTCCAGCCCTCTATTGCGGTGGTGGTGGGAAGTTATACAGGGGTTTCTCAGTATATACTGATACAATGGGCCTACTATGCAAAACATATAGCGAAGGAGATCTCCAGCATTTGAAGCGCAAGCTGGCGGACAATACAATGGCATGTAGAAGCCTAAAACAACTACTGTAATTCGGAATATTTATCATGTTGAGGTTTATTCTGAAGTGCCTTTACCATATTTCTGGGAGGATTCTAGGACCAGTATGTTGGTAATGCTTTAGGCCCCAACAGCCCATCAGAAGCAACATGCGGAACATCACCAATCATCAACGTCTGTTGGACATGCTCCTGACGGATGATCAGCCTAGTAAACTGAACTCGACTCAAACATTCCTGAGCCTGAGATCTCAACCTCATAAAGTGGGGGTGTTAAGGACCTTAACTTAAATTACCAAATTATGGGTAGAGTAGATGATGGGGCTTACTTATTAGGGTCTCTTAACTTAAGTTCCTTTACAGCAGCCCAATAAAACCTCAAAAATCCAAGCTTAGAAGCTGCCGCTTGGGGAAGGGGCAAGGAGTCTCGGCTTACTTCCAGCTCCAGGACCCTCGGCATTATCCAACGTGACATCCTGCAGTCCAACAGGGTTGTCATAGTCAAGGCACAAATGAGATAGAGTCTAAACTCCCAGTATACCCCCAAATAACCCCAAAAATACTCTCTTATATGAACCCTACACAACCCCCCTTTTGGAGTTTAGACTACACATGAACCCCGCCCTGGCCCAGCCCCACCTGCAAAGACGTCCTGACGACACCCCATTCCTGGCCGCTGGGCGCCAAGGATGGCCAGGCGACTGGGTTGTTGTTTAGGAACTTATATTAAGGTACTCTCTGTCTCTCTCCTGCGGACTCAGTTGCCTGTCAGCTGCGACGAAGGCCCGAGCAATATTCGCCAGACACTGCAAATTACAGACTTCACTACTCACATACTACATCCGGAGTCCGGAATATACAGAAACTACCGACGCATTAAAGTTAGTATGAAAAGGAAACCCTTTCATTTACCATACTCAGAATATGGTAACTTAAACTAAATTCCTTAACAGTAACCCAGGTTAGCGGGGCCCGGGTAGCTTAAACGAGGAGTCTGAACCGCAAGCGTTGGTGTTCCTTGAGGCCCATCCAGCGTGTGCACAACAATTTCTTAGTCCCACCCTGCTCCTGCCCCTTGAGACTTCCAGGCTATAGGGTGGAGCAGCGACGTCATGCTTTACCATACTGCCGGTGGCCTAGGCCTTAATGTTGGACCTCCATTCACACCGAGGATCTCCATAATGTGTTTTGGCCCTCCCTATTGAGGATCAGGGACAATGATTTGTGGCCCTCTACAATATGTGTTGATTTGGGGCCCTAAAAAGGAAGTTGTCATCCCTTTTTGTTTTTAGGGTCAGGATATCCGACGGATCCTGCCTCTTTGATCAAAACAGGCAGGCCCTTTAAAACCCTTCAGAACCAGCCCTCTCAGCTGTCGATTCCCAATTCAGAATCCAAGGCTTGAACCTGAAGCCGACCAGTTTATTGACATCCTTACTCAAAACCTTAAAAATTCAAATCCCAAATCATTCGGGAAGGGGGTAGTCCAGCAGGCCTCTAGATCCTGAGTAAGGCCCATTGTTGAGGCCCTCTTTAATCTGCCAGCCTTGTAGCCCTGCAAGTTTTGGGGCCTAGACCATTCCTTTATTAATCAGTCCCCAGCGCCCTCAGAAAGGCCAGACCGGAGGTTTAGAGGTGCTGTTATTGAGGGTCCTTATTCTTGTTGTTGTGACCCGGCGCTATTGTTATAATTTGGGGGAGGTTAAAGAGGGTCTCCACATGAAAATACTCACACCGGGGAGGGGGGGCGGGGTGTAGATTTGGGTGGATGCAATCTCCAAAAACATGCGAAAAATGGGGCTGGAACTCTATGAGTAACGGAAAAACTCCACGAATTTCCAAGCTTCTTTATAATGCTGTCCGGGCTTTCCTCACGACCAGTATTCATTGTGCTACATGAAGTAGCATCAGTGCCATCCTTGCTTTGTCTCGTTCAGTTCCTTGCAACATGAGCTACAATAGAGGCCGCCGGATGCCACAACCCTGCCAAACGTCGGACGACTTGATAGTTACATAGTTAAGAAGGGCATGGCCCGCTACTCGCATGGGTCTTCTTAAAGCGGAAAGCAGTAGCTCCCGTTATCTGTCTTTCTAACACTTGAGCTAAGCATCTGGTAACTTGCCTAGACCCAACATGCGGGAATTCTTCTCTCAGGATGCAAGATTAAAAAAAAAAAAAAAAAAAA